CAAATGGCCGTTCTGATTCCAAAAAGCAGGTCTTCTCAGAAGGCGGCGCAGCTGGCCCCATCATACAGGAACGTGCCCCAGGCCGAGCAAAAGTAAGGATCACGCTATCAAACTTGGTACGTTCGCCCCCACCACCCCCTGCGATGTTTTGAAGTTTGGCCTCATCGGGACTTGGAAGGTGCACAAAGGAGTTGTTTTGTGCACAGGCACCATGGTGTACATACACAAGTGATGCTGAAGCTGCAGCTGGAATGCGTATAGATGTTGTCGTGTACACCAGCAGTGTGGTGTACACAGAAGTTGCGGTGCACTCGGCCGCTGTGTTGTACAACGGCATTGTGGAGCACGCAGGCGCTATGGTGCAAGCAGATGATGCTGCAGCAGCAGTTGTGATGGATACAGGCATAGTGATGTAAACACGCATTGTGTGACACAAGCATTGTAGTGTGCACACGAACTGTTGTACACGCAGGCCCTGCCTGGCCCCGGCGCTTCGTGTCCTCCCAGGGTCGGCAAACGCATCCCCCGCACGTGCTGGGGATATCGGATAACGCGCCCCAGGCGCGCCCAGGGGTGCGTCGCGCGCTATCCTTGCGAATGAAAGAAACACGCTCTAGAATCTGAGGGGCACGTCACATGTATACCATGGTCTGTGAGGCACCCAGTTTCCTCTGTACTGTGCCATCGGGGGACATGACATAAACTGTTAGACGCTGGTAAGCAGAGATGATGTGCCGTTCACATCAGGCAGCAGATACAGAATCATGGCCACGAGGCTCCTTCTAGATTTTAGTTGTTGTTTAACTTTATATCGAAGCGCCGATTTGTTAAATCGGCGTTTTGCGTTGCACGTGCAAGGTGACAACAGTCATGTGATCAGCGATATTTGAACTACCACCTTACTTTGCAAAAACATGTGCTTCACACTACCGCTGACCATGATGCAGGCTGGACAGGGAGAGACGAGCGCACACCAGACAGCGCATGACGTTGATACGTTTGGGGGCTGCGGCCCCCGACGACTCGGCGGCCCGATTTGGGGACAACCCGCCTGGGATGATTGTTCCCAGGGCGAGCGTGATCATGTCGGGCTAATTCTGGCCGTTCGGGCCGAAGGTATTGCAGGCGCATTGTTTCCAACCCGCCTCGACGGCGACCGCGCTGCGAGGTACATCCCCGAAGCGCGTGCGCAGGGATGCATGGAACATCTTCTAGCCCCGCGGACAAGATCGCGTGAGTCATCCGGATCACGCGAGGTGAAGGACGTGCGCGAGGATGCAAATGAATCGCCTGACGATTCACCGCCCGTTCTCGACGTGCAGGAGGCGGCGTTGCGCAGGGTGATGCCCAACCAGATGATGGACGAGGATCTTGCCGCCATGAGGCATGAGATGCGAGAGCTCCGCGGCGTCATGAACGAGGCAACGAAATCACAGCTCCAGATGACGCAGCAAGAGCTCCGCGGCATGAAGGAGGAGATGCGTGTGCAGTTTCTCCGCGCGACCGACGCGGCTTCGGAGGTGCATGCGACAGTCGGGAACAGCAGCAGCAGCGCGCGGGACCCGATTGTCACGGACGATAGCCAGATTGGTGCACACATTGGCGCCTCAGAGGGCGAAAAGACACAGCAGATATTTAGACACCGTGACGCCAGTTACGCTTGACGCTGGCGAGATGTATGAGCTAAAGCATTATTCTTGGGACATCCTATGTTTCTTCGGTCTCTAGTCAGTCGGCCCCGTTAACACATGCGTCATTAGCGAGGTGGTCTTCCTCAACAAATTTGTGCAAGACGTGTTCATCGACTTCGTTGAAGACTTCTAGATGGAGTCCCTCGTATCTCCAGAAAACCTGGATGGGCTGCTGAAGTTTAGACTCGGTTTGGAGCACAGCGCAGAGTATGCGGACAAGGTGACTCAGCGGTCGATGGCTGTGCAGGTGTGCAATCTCGATCGGAAACTACACCTGGCTGGGTCGCTGGTGGAATTTTTCAGAGATATGAGCGAAAACCACCACCTCCTCCTCCTCCTCCTCCTCCTCCTCCTCCAGATAGCGGTCCAGAATTTGAAGCCCCACAGCACCGCCTGTCGACCAAGATCCACACTGATGTCGGGGGCGTGGGGGTGATGCAGGATCGCCCTCGAATGCGTAAGGGTTCGAACAGATGGTCCATCTGCTGTAGAGCGGGGGCAAAGCCAGATAGCGGTCCAGTCCAACTCAGGGCCTCCTCCGGCTTGTGTATCTGCACCCGTGGCCCGAGGTCCGCCCCCATGCGCCCCAACCCTCGATATGGGTCTGAGGATGTCTTGCACGAGCGAACAGCAGATGAGCTCCCTCCACAGCCTCAAGATCCAGAAGTGGGAGAGAACGTCCTCTGTGCACGCCTCTCTGGTGTAAGATCCCAACCTCCCCCGCTCTGGAGCCGCCCCCCTCGAAAATCCCTTCTTCCTCTCTGGAGCCCCTCCTCGTCCCCTCCGGCCCACTCACCAGCGAGAACACCTCCGTGAACCCCTCCCTGAGCCCATTCCCCACAGTTCGAAAGTCGGTTTGTTGTTAGCGGGTCTGGTGGGCCAGCGGGTTGCTGGCGAGTCTGGAGGGCGGGGAGGACGCGTCGTCGTCGTGCAGTCGGTCGAGCGGGCGGGACGCGTTGTGGTCGTAGTCCTCGTCGTCGTCGTCTTCCTCGTCCTCGTCGTCGCCTTCGTCGCCGTCGGAGTCGGCGTTGTCGTTGTCGTGGGAGAGGTCGTCTGTCGGGCGGGCGGACAGGACACGTCGACGTCATCGTGGATGGGCCAGTCGGGCGGACGGACGGCCCACGTCGTCGTTGTCGTCGCCGCGGTGGTCGTGTCCTCGTTGTCGTCGCCGTCGTCGTCGTCGTTTGCCAGCGCCTTGGGGTTAAGTCGGGCCTGTCTCTCTACAGGAGGAATTCCTTAAAATAGTCAAACATATTATTGGGATGATGATTTTGCATTTTTTGTTGCTGTTCTTGATGTTTGGCATATTCTCCGATCAGCAAGCCACTATTAGTGGAGGAGGAGGAGGAGGTGGAGGAGGAGGAGAAGGACGAGGAAGGATTAGATGGGAGGAGGAGAAGGAAGGAGGCAACAGGAGGAGGAGAAGGAAGCAAGGCGGAGGGAAGGAACGAAGGAACGGTCGAGGACAAGAAGGATAAGGAGGCGGTCCTTGCGAACCTGTTATTGTGAGAGGTTCTCGGGGGTCTCTTGGAGCCATCTTGGGGCTCTCTTGGGGTCGCCGCGGGGCTTCTTGAGGCATTAGTTGGCCAATCGTGATGCGGTTTTTTTCGGGGGGGGGTCTAGGGGCCCTATTGGAGTTTCTTTTTGTGCGGGGGGGGGGGGTCTGGAGGCCTCTTGTTGCAAGTTTGGGCCCCATGGCTCAAGAAGAGGGGGGGAGCGGCGAAACTTAGCTCCCCACACCCCCTTCGCAGGCAGAATGATGCGCCCTCGAGCCGTCTTGGGGCGCTCTGGGGGACGTCTTGGGGCCTTCTTGCCCGCAACCCACATGGGGTTCCTTTGGGCCATCTTTGGGCCATCTTGGCACATCGGAAGCGAAACGGCAAGACGTCAAACACCATTGATTTGCCTTAGGTGTCTGAAGGCCTTTGGCCTCTTGGGGGCCTCCTTTGGCGACTCGGAGGGCACTTGGCGCCGTCTTGGGGCTGTCCTGGTGCCTCTGACGGGTGTGTCGGATAATACCCTCAGCCATCTTGAGGTAGCTTCGGCCATCTTGGAGGCCATCGTGCTCCTCCTCCTCCTCCTCCTCCTCCTCCTCCTCCTCCTCCTCCTCCTCCTCCTCCTCGCTCGTCCTCGTCCTCCTCCTCCTCTGGGACCCTCTGCAACCGCGCGGGGCGCCCGGCGCAGGCCCTGGGGAGGGGGAGCAAGGGGGACGGGAAAATCTGTCCCCCGCGCAGGGGAGAAATCTTTGAGGAGTTCACATGGTTCATTTCTAAGTATTCGAAAGTTCTTTGATTTTTTTGGGGGCCAAGATCCTTTCATTTCTAAGTGTTCTATCCTGGGCCTCTTCCTGGCCTCTAGGGGGCCAGGAACAGTGAGAAACGAGCACAATTCGAAATGAGCGCGATTAGAAATGAACGACGTGTAGGTGAGAAGAGAACTCGGTAAATCACCTCCGCCCAGAGGGCTGGTGGGGTTGTGGTTGCCAGCCCGTGGTCTTCCCTGCAACTTAGGACGCCCTGGGGCCTCGCACCCTTCTGGTGGTGACGTTCTCATCCGGACGCCGTCCGAGGTGATCTCGACATTTTCGCTGGAGCACGTTGCCAGACTTCGCTGGAAAAGGTGCCACATGCGCGATCACGTGGACTGCTGCGTCTAATCGTGCTGCTCATACATGCGTGCTTGTGCCTCGTCTAACGTTGCGGTTGCTGTGCCAGTTGATTGTGGAATTGGGTGGTCCGCAGAAGAAATCCTAGGACCCGCGCAGGGCGAGGTTTTTTTTACAACATCATGAGATACATTGCATGGTGGATCTTCAAGACGCGCGAACGATTTCGAGTGGAACTGAATGGCCGATCCTGGACACCCTGAGAACGCCACCACTGATTTCTCTTGGGGTGATCCGCTTCCACTTGCACTGGAGGAGGAGGAGGAGGAGGAGGAGGAGGAGGAGGAGGAGGAGGAGGAGGAGGAGGAGGAGGAGGAGGATGGGGGGGAAGAGGAGGAGGAGGAGGAGGAGGAGGAGGAGGAGGAGGCGGCGGAGGAGAGCGAGCGAGGGAGGAGAGGAGGAGAAGGAAGAGGAGGAGGAGGAGGAGCCTTACATCCTCGTTCTCAGTTTTTGCCCCTTCCCTGGCCCTGTTTTCCCCCATATTCTAAGAATGCGTTTTGTCGTTGCTGGGACGCTTCCGCCTCACTTACTCACTCGTCCGCCTCTTGCTCTCATGTCCACGGATCGTGCAGAGTGGAACCCCGCCTATCTCAGGCTTACTCACAGTCAGACTCAGACTTGCTTATCTCTCATCTCGCCTATCCTCTTTTCCTGCTTCTCCTCCTTCTCCCCCTCCTTCTCCTCCTCCTCCTGGCTCCCGGGCGGGAGGGGCGCGATGACAGCCGACAGCGGGAGCACGCCGTGCCGTTGCAGCCCCAGCTCTGAGCTGGAGTTCGGGCTCTCCGGTTCGGTGACCGGTCCTGCCTCGTCGGCCAGGAGCGCCCGGGAGGTGTGGCGGAAGCCTTCTGAGACGCCGGCGACGGCCGTGACCATGCCTGCCGTGTCGACCAAGAACGCGCGCAGGGTGTGGTGGAGGTCTCCCAAACTGCTCGCGACGGCCCTGACCATGACGCTCGTCGTGGGCCTCGGGTCGTGGCGCTTCGCCAACGACGAGCAGGCGAGCCAGGACCAGTTCCGCGCGGCGGTCCAGGCCCTGGCCGTGACCTACGCCGAGGAGCTCGCCCGCCAGGTCCGGACCTCGATCAGCTCGACGCACGCCATCGCGGCCATGCTGCAGGTGGACGACGCCAACTTCACGCAGAACGGCTTCGAGACGATCGCGGCAATGCTGATCGAGACGTACGGGGGCATCTCCAACTTGCAGCTCGCGCCCTTTGGCAAGGTCACCGCCATCGTGCCCCTTGTCGACGCCACGCAGGACAACCGCGCAGTGCTGGGCCACAACCTCCTCGTGGACCCGGACCGGCGTCTCGGGGCCCTACAGACCATCCAGAGCCGCCAGACCCTCGTGCTCGGTCCGCTCCAGCTGAAGCAGGGCGGCGCGGGGATCATTGTCCGACACCCCGTGTTCACGCGTTTTGCGCCCGAGTTCGTCCCCAGCGAGCCGTATCTGGCGGGCGGCGAGGTGTACACCGTGGATTGCTCGACCCCGGCGCTCCAGCGCGAGAACTGCTACTTCCCGGGCCCCGACGTGGAGGTCGCGGGCGTGCAGGAGCCGACCTATTTCTTCGCCTTTGCCACGATGATCTCTTTCGTCCCAACACTGCTCGGCCCTGTCCAGCTCGGGCGCCTCGCTGACGGCGGGCACAACCTGGAGGGCACGACCCGCTTCGCTTACCAGCTCCAGATGCGGGTGCCGCACCCGTCGCTGGAAGACGTGCAGGGCGTATTCGCGCACTCGCCCGACCACCCCCCAGGCACGGTGCTACCGGACCCAGTCGAGGCGGCGGTGTCGTTGCCCGAGGTTGGGCTCGAGTGGTCTTTGCGTGTGGCGCCAGCGGAGGGCTGGCCGGGCATCAGCGCTGAGTTCTGGACACAGCTGGCGTTGCTCGTGTTGCTGACCTGCATCACCGGGTTTGTGCTTGGCGGCCTCATCATCGGGAATGTGCGTGAGACGTTGAAGCGCGCAGTGGAGCTCGAGGTCTACCGCGACCATAAGCTCCGCTCCCAGGTCGCGGCAGCGACGAGCGACATCATGCGGAGCCGGTTCCCAATGTGCGTCATGCAGGTGAGCGAGTTCAAGCGGGTCGGCCGGCTCTTGTCGCACGAGGAGGCCCGAGACCAGGGTTCGCTGGTCTTTCTCGATACCTTTGCCGAGATGCAGCGCCTCAAGCAGGAGGGCGATGTCGCCTTCCTCAGCCACCAGTGGACGAGCTTCGTCAATCCGGACCCGAGCGGGGAGCACTACGCGGCCATGGTCTCCGCGCTCGACGCGTTGGCCGCCACGGGGTGGCCCTGCACTCACGTGTGGGTAGACTACCACTCGATCCCGCAGGCCAACCGCGACCAGCAGCAGAACGCCATCAACTCGCTCTCGCTCTACGTCGCCTGCAGCCGCATCTTCGTTGCCGTTACGCCGACGTGCACGCACCAGGAGCTGGGGGAGACGTTGGACACGGCGAGCTACCGCCGCCGCGGCTGGTGCCGCGTCGAGCAGCTTAGCTTCTTGGCGACCAACACTCAGTCGGCGAACGCCTTCGTCTACGATGTGTGCGGGCTGCGGCCGCTCTGGGCCTCGACGGAGGACCACGCCATGTCTCTCGGCATCTTTGAGGGCGACTTCACTTGCTGCCGCCGCAAGCACTGCAACGGCCTGCGGTGCGACAAGCAGCGGCTCGTAAACGTGATGCTGGCCATGTACTGGGAGCTCCTCCACGCCCAGGCCAACTCACCAGACGCATCGGCCCTGGTTGCGCTGCTCGCCGACGAGCCGCGCTTCTTCCCGGCCAACGCGCAGCAGGTCCGGCTGGCGGCCGACGGGTCGGTCTGGGAGGCCGAGGTCGAGCTCTTTGGGAATTTGCTGCCAGTGTTGCACGAGCTCTTCGAGCACCCCGAGCTCCTTCCTGACCGAAGCCCGGAGGCGACGGTGGGCGTCGAGACGGAACCCGTGAAGCCCAAGGTGTGGGGCGACTTGGAGACGGTGTGAGTGAGCTTTCTCCTCCTCCACCTCCTCCTCCTCCGTACTCCCCCTCTTGTGCTCGCACCCTTTCCTCTTCGCGCACTTAGGCCCAGGCCCGACAGGGGCGACGGCGGCTCCACCTCAACCCCAGACCTCAGACCTCGTAAATTTGTCATACCGCGACGTCTCGATGCCATGCATCGCATCGCATTTTTGTTTTGACGATGCCAATATCATCTGCCTTTCAGATCACGGCAGACGGCGCGACTTCTGCTCAGCAGCAGCATGGGGTTCGTCGGCGTGGGTTTCCGGTCGCCTGCTAAAGGTTGCACCCGGAACCAGACTTTGCAGGGGTGGGAGGGGCGTCCTGCTGTGGTCGGCGCGCGTGCTCCCCATCGAGTGGTAGTGAGGTGAATGGTGGCGACTGTCGAGTGCATGCTGCGGAGGGGGTGGCGGTAGAGACTGAGGTGGAGAGGAATGGGAGGAGGAGGAGGATCCAGGGGCGGGAGAACAGCTTGGATGCTAGCGACTCCTTGGTTTATGCCACGAGCGTTGGATCATGCTCCATTCTGGCCCCGTTCGCGCGCGTCGCTGGCGCGTGCTCGCCGTTTCCATTTCTGCAGCCCCCGCCCGCTGCCTCCGTCATCCCATTCGTCTTGATTACAGCCCTGCTGCCCACACGAACGCAAGGCGCACACTACAGGCGATGCGCCTTTCTCCAAACCCGGGCGTACAAACTGGTTGCATTGCAAGAGTATCACCTTTACCAGTTTCGCCAGTAGGTGCAGTCATTGCCAGTCCCAGCGGCGCAGTAGTTTCGCTCGTGCAGCGAAGCATAATCTTATGAAGGGAATATGTTCAGGCTGAATTATTTGCAGGCGGAACGTGCGCCAGCCGTTTTTGTTGTTTCGCACTAGTGCCACTCAAGTTTTACGTACATGACGTTCCGTCTTCCTTGTTCTCTCTCTTTTCTTCCCCCTCCTCCTCCTCCTCCTCTCCTCCTCCTCCTCCCCCGCGTCTGTCGAGATGGGCCCCACAATGGGTTCGACAATAGCTTGCTCTCCTCCGTCTCTTTCCCATCATCTCTCCTCTCCTCCTCTTCTCTCCTCTCCGTTGCGTTGTCATCTCACTCAGTTCATTGATACTCCGGCCCGCTCACACTACGTCTCACAAATACGTACCAAGTCTGACTCACAACCAGACTTGCGCACAGTCACGCTCACTGATACTCATACCTATTCATGTACATATTCACTGCCACTTAGATTCAGCACACTCAGACCTATTCATATTCAGACTGACCCACATCAAGACACACTCACACCGCGAGACAGGAGGCGTAGCACTTGGGCACCCCTAGGGGGAACCGCCAGGGGGTGTTGCACTCCCCCGTTCGCGCCCAGATCGTGGGGATGTCTCAAGCAGTTTGTCTGTTCCGGTGCCGCCGACATGTCTGATATGGTGATCCAATGTCCACCGCGATATCGCAGACTCAGCATTTTGGCGCCCCACGGGGGCGCCGCCAGGGGTTGTTGCACCCCCGTTCGCGCCCAGGTTCTAGGCATGTCTCAAGGGATTTGATTGTTTCGGCGCCGCCGACATTTTTCTTTTGGTGGACCAATGCTCACCGCGATGCAGCAGGCGTGGCACATGGGCATCCCAAGGGGATGGCGCCAGGGGGTGTTGCACTCACACGTTCGCGCTCAGATTGCTCGCTTGCTTCAAGTGGTTTGCTTGTTTCGGCGCCGCCGACGTCTTCCTTTTTTGGTGGCCCTATGTTCACCGCGATAAAGCAGGTGCAGGACTTGGGCACCCCAAGGGGGTGCCACCAGGGGGTGCTGCACTCCCCCGTTCGCGCCCGGGTTCTAGGCATGTCTCAAGCGATTCGATTGTTTCGGTGCCACTGACATTTCTTTTTTGGTGGGCCAATGCTGGCCAATGCTCACCGCAGTTCAGCAGGCGTAACATGTGAGCAAAGGGGGGATCTCAAGGGGGTGTTGCACTGCACTCCCCCGCTCGCGCCCAGTTTGTGGGATGTCTCAAGCGGTTTGCTTGTTTCGGCGCTATAGTGACCCAGTACCCACCGCGACATAGTAGGCCTGACACTTGGATGCGCCAAGCGTGAGCCGCCAAGGAATGTTGCACTCCCCCGTTCGCGCCCATATTGTGGGGATGTCTCAAGCAGTTTGCCTGTTTCGGCGCCGCCGACACCTCTCTTACGGCGATCGAGTGCTCACCGCGATACAGCATGCGTAACATTTGAGCGCTCCACGGGGGAGCCGCCAGGGGGTAGGACAATCAATTCTTCGATGTTAGATTGTGGGCATATCTTAAGCGGTTTGCCTCTTCCGTTTTTCCGGAGTGCTTTCTTTTGGTGAGAATTTCCTCAATCGGTTTGCTCAGTCCGTTGGCGTTCCACAATGGGGCGGAGGCGGAGGAGGTGTAGTTAGGGAAGGAGGAGAGGGAGAAGGTACAGGTGGCGGAGGGACCGGGAGACGGACGCGCATGTGGCTCTCTCGCAGCGCGGGGCACACGTCGTCGTCGTCGCCGCCGTCGTCGTCGTCGTTGTCGTCGCGTGTTGTTGGCTTACGCCTCCTATAAGCTTTGCAGCTGGCGCTCGGCAGCCGCCCGACTCGCAGCGGCGCGTCCTTCAAGAGCCTGGAGAGAAGGAGGAGGTGGTGGAGGCGGAGGAGGCGGAGGATACGACAGGAAGTTGGACGAGGAAGGAAAGGAGAATGACTTGTCACCGCTTGTTCGCGTCGTGCTGACGTCGACATTGCGGCTCCCCTCATCGCAGCCGTCGCCGTCGTCGTTGTTCCGCCCGTCTTCCACCTGACCTCGCTCTCACAACGAGATGTGCACCGCCGGACACTCACAGCGGGACGTGCCAGAAAATGAGATGCACATACAGGGATCTCCGCGCCGAATAATTTCACTACTCGAGTCTTTGAATTTCCACCTCGCCAATCTCATCCTCAACATCCATCCACCCCTCCTCCGTCCTCACCCTTCACCCTACGTCGATCTCTAAGCCTTCGAAGGCGGAGAAATGGGGAACACCTCCTGCCAGTTCTTTCCCACGCCAGGGGTAATTCTGTGGTACCCTTGCGGTCTCCAGAGGTCCCTGGTCTGGAGATATATTAGGAAGCTCCATCTAGCAAACAGCTTGACCTCATATGTTAGCCTCTTGGAGCCCCAAGCAGTGCACCATTGCACGACGGAGATGGTATCCATGCGATGTGACCTATTGAGTGCAAGTTCTGCGGTGTAAGGTAGGCGGTATGATATGGATGTGTTAGCTGTGTGATTTAAGCTGGGAGGCACAATATGTGCGGTGTGAGTTGTGTGGTGTAAACTGTATCGTGCAGGCTATCTGGTGCAAGCTATGTGGCGCAAGCTGTGCGGTGCAAGCTGTGAGGTGCAAGCTTTGCTGTGCAAGCTATGTTGCGCCCAAAGGGCGCCCACGAACGGGCACGCGCGCGAACGTGGCGAGACCTCGGCGGAACCACCCAGCGCACGGGGTGCCCGCGGGGCGTCCGCGCAAGGGCACCCGGCGAAGCTTCGGCGGGCCGCGGCGCGCGAGGCGCCCACGGGCGGGCCCGGCTCCAGCGCACGAGGTGCCCACGAGGCGCCCACGGGCACTCCTCCTCCTCCTCCTCCTCCTCCTCCTCCTCCTCCTCCTCCTCCTCCTCCTCCTCCTCCTCCTCCTCCTCCTCGGTCGCCCACGAGGCGCCCACGGGCGGGAGCGTGGCGAGACCCCTCTCAGAAGTTGGAGCGAGAACCCCTTAAGCCCGGGTGCTGCTGGAAGTGCCCCTGGCCAAAGGTGCCCCCAGCTTGTCGCTCCATCTTGAAGCCCCTGGGGCCCTCTGGGCCTCGTGAGGGGTGCTCTGGAGGCCGTCTGGGCCACCCCGAGAATCCTGGGGGCACCTTGGGCCAGGGGTACTTCCAGCAGCACCCGACTGAGTGCAAGCACTCTAGAAACCTCGGCTCTCAACCTTCCTGAAGGCCCCCCGAGCTTGCCCAAGGGTGCGGTCTGGCCATCATGTCGGTGCAGACCAAGCCGTGGGCATGAGAAGTCCCCTGGAGGTAAGAAACTACAACCTCAGAAGTCTTTGATCTTTGATCCTCTTCACTCCTCGTTCTCCTCCCTCCTCCTCCGCCCTCTTCGTCTCTGTCTGGTTGCTGGCTTGGCTTGGGTGGTCCGCTGCACGGGGAAGGATGTTCATGGCACAGCTTGCCCCCTCCCCAAAAACAGCTAACCCATGATGGTGCAAACGCCAATCCTTCTGGCCAGGCCCTGCGTTTCAGGTGATGCCCCTGCGATTGTTACTTGTGAGCCTCGGTTCACCCGGTCCCCTGCTTCATCTCTCCGATACTTGTTGATTTTCGGAACAGGGTCCGCAGAAGTCGCGGCCCCTTTGGGGTACAGGCCCCCGGGCCAACCCAGCCCTTCATATTGCGGCCACCAGTTCCCAAGTTGCCCCGATGATCCGGGATGTCCAGCCTCGCGCGCGGCCAACCCCAACCTGCATACCGCGGCTGCCAGACCCCAAGTTGTCCCATTCATCCCCGAGAAGCCCAGGTGTCCCGCCTCGCGCCCGACCAATCCCAACCTGCATACCGCCGCCGCCAGACCCCAAGTTGTCCCGATGATGCCCGAGAGTCCCGAGTGTCCCGCCTCGCGCCCTCGACGAACACGACATGACACAGCAAGACAGAAAGGAACAGAGCATGACAGAACATGACTGACAAGAACATATCAATACCGGTAGGACCACTCTTCGGGTGAGAAGGAGGTTGGGGGGGGAAAGGGGGAGGCGTGCGATTTGCGATGGCCTTCAATTTTCCCATTGTCGGCGCATCTGCCAATCTATCTATCGACCTAAATCTCTAATCATCGAGAGGTCACCTATCTATCTGTCTATGCACATGCATACCTATACGACCACCCTTCGGGCGATAAGGAGGTTCGGGGGGGGGAGGAATCAACGTCTCACTCGATCGGTCGCACTATCGATCTCGCTATCGATCTCACTATCGGTCTCGCTCGATCGATCTCACCCAATCGATCCCACAATCGATCTCATTCGATCTATTTCATCCGATCGATCTCACAATCGATATGACTATCGATCTCACAATCGATTTCACTATCGGTCTCACAATCGATCTCACATTCGATCTCACTATCGATCTCACTATCGGTATCACAATCGATCTTACAACCAACGTCATCATCATCATCATCATCAACATCATCGTCATCAACGTCATCATCATCATCATCATCATCATCATCATCATCATCATCATCATCATTGGGACACCATCATCATCATCATAACCTTATCACCTCAACATCATCGTCATCACCATCATCATCATTGGGACACCATCATCGTCACCATCGTCATCATCAACATCATCATCGGGACACCGTCATCATCACCACCATCGGGACGCCACC